GTACAAGCAATCTACTTAATTTTAATAAATATGATTTACCATCGCAACTTGAATAAGGATTTCCATTAAATCCATTTGGACATTGGCACTCATAACTTCCTGGTAAATTTTTACAAATAGCATTTAATCCACATGCAGGTTTGTCTCTAGGTTGCGTACATTCGTTAACATCTCGGCAAATTCCATTTTCTCGATCTCTTGCATAACCTTGTCTGCATACACACATGCTATTACCGGTATATGTATCTATTAAGCATTGCTCTCCATCAGGACATGGCTGACCATCTCCACAACCAGAAGATGGAATAACTTTGGCGCAACCTCCACGATATGGATCTCCTTTGCTATTACTTGGACATTGGCAAGAGAAACGCCCCGGTTCGTTGAGGCATATAGCACCAGCTGGGCATGGTCGGCCTGCGCATTCGTCGATATCTGTACATCCACTCGTGTCTGGTGCTCCAGTGTAACCAGGACTGCATAAACATACAGCTTGCCCAGAACTCAACATGCAGTGAGCGTTTGGTCCACAACTTTTACCTTCGCATGGATCTGAAAGTAAGTAAATAAAACTTTAATAAACGCATATCATAATCAACTATCAATTTTTTATTTATTCGTCAACGAAATGTTGACAAAATAAATATGGAGTTAAAAATTTGTACATTTTTAGTACAAATTTATGAAAATGTTTCTACCTGTGCCATAGCAAAAATATTTATCTATTTATATGACAACACTTACGCCTGCAATCTTGACCAACATTTGGTTCTGGACATAAACATCTTTGTCTATCATCGCAAATTGCATTTCCTGGACAATCTGAATCTTTGTGACAAGCTTCAGCGCTAACACATCGAATAGTGGGATCTGGGTCAGGTAAAGTTCCTGCAGGGCATTCACATCTATGGCTACCAGGCAGATTTACACAAATCGAATCCTGACCACATGCTCCCGGTCTTGTGCATTCATCTATGTCCGTACATTGTCTGTGAGCATCACCTATAAAACAAATATTGACTCATCAAAATATGTTGTTGTAAAAATTAATGAATGAAAGATGACAGGTAAATGAAACGCCATTTATACTTCTACTATAGATGTTCCAATTTTTTATTTTTTTAGCTCATATCTATATATTCCCCAATTTTAAATGAATGACAAAAATAATTTGTATGATCTCACCAGTAAATCCTTCTTTACAGCTGCAGCTATACCCTCCTGGTGTGTTAGTACAAATCGCGTCAGGGCCACAGCGACCACTTGGTCCATGTACTGGATCGCATTCATCGATGTCCACGCAACCTGCGGCAATATCTCGAGGATCGAAAGTCCAACCGTCTTCGCAAACACAATACGCTTCTAGAGCATCGGCGCGACAATGCGCATGTTCGCCGCACGAGACACGTTCGCATGGTGCTCGGCATGGTACGGCCGGTGGTGATCCTACGTGTCCCGGCTCGCACTCGCAACGGTATGCTCCTAAAGCATAATATCTTATATATAAAAATGGAGCTCTCTTTCAAATGTCTAAGTAAAACTTGAAAACGGCTAAACCGATTTTGCCAGTCCTAATCTTGAAAAATTCGTGCCAATCCAGAGAAAGTCCAAAAGGTGAGAAATTATTTCAAATCCGCGTAGAAACTTTACATTTTTAATTTGAAAATTTTTGTTGAAGCGTAATTTAAATAAAACAATGGACGGTGGCTAATACGTGAAATGTCAAACGTTTTTGACAGATGATGTTCAATTATGTTTAATAGGTTGTCTTATATAAATATTATTTAATAATGATTAAATTGTAGTAAGTAGTTTTGTTTGTAGTTTTATTTGTACACAAAAACGTTATTAAACGGGCCTCAAGTGTTACTATAAACTCAAAATATCTACTTTTTGAAATGTTATATGAAAATGCACTTTTTAGCATATTTTTCTCAAACACGGTGCTATGACAGATCTCATGTGTATATATACTCATTGGTATTATAAAAACATTTCCTAGATTATATTATTTTTTATTTATGTTACTTTAATTCAGAACCTAAAATTGGTATCGATCAAAGGGACATTTTGTCGAATAACATTTTCCCAGTTATAATTTTCCTGAATTTATCGAAGAATAGATAGTAATTTATAAAGGTCCGGGGTTAAAAAGGTTCACCACCGATGGTCAAAAACCAGTAAAGCTAAGCATTGTTCAACAGCAATATTTGAAAGTTGAGGAAAAAAGATGTATAACCAGCTATAACCTTGATTTGAAACCGGTAATCTTTGAAATGGGGGAGATAAACGGTAATTTAAAATTATAATAAGGCTTTAAACCTTTACACCGTTCAATGCTTATAGGGTAAAAAGGTCTAGATAACAAATTTTTGAAAGACATCAAAAAAGCAGCACATGAACGTAGTCAGATAATCGTTCGTTTGATATGTGTTATTTGTTGTGATATAATTTTATGGTTTTCACAATATAGTTTTTTTTTATTTGCTCAAAGTATTTTATTAAATTTACTTTAATTCATCGAATGTTACTTGAAATTTTTCAAAAAGCAGGTCAAAGAAGAAATACTTAATTCATTTTCTATCCCTCATCGCAGAAATTTGAAAATTTTGTATAAGCTCAGAAGTATTATTTACATTTATACACAAAATACAGAATCCAAAAATAATCTGAAAAACTTGAAACGTAATGAATAAGTCAAAAGAACAAAAAAGACTTAGATTGGAATATACCATGTTTTCCAAAGAAAGTGTATAAAACTTCCAGTTTGATTGTATTGAGAAGATATAGTAAAACTAATGGGGCTTATTGTTTTTATACATCTCATTGTATATAGCATTCGAACAACACATCCCCTTATACACTTAAAGTATTAATATTTTTGATTCTTTAGAAATTGTTTAGAATATACCTAACTTAGCAAAACTACGTTTGCCGGGTCAGCTAGTAAAATATAAAACTGAACTAAAGGATAACACACGTCTTATTTTAATTTTATTCACTTGCGCCCTACGGTTTTTATATATTGTTACGTCAATTTCACTAGAAACTGATATATTTGTCGGTTCCACGAAGAAAGTCATGTCGTAATAATTTTTATTAGCTAAACTATTGCCTTTACCTGGTAAATCAGTACACGTAGCGTGTTCCCCGCATGGGTTTCCTTTACATTCATCCAAATCTACGCAAGCCGCTCCTCGAGCCTCAAATCCTTCTTGACAAGCACAGCTGCCATCAATACACTCTGCATTATTAGTGCAGTCAAAGTTCGACGTGCAGCCAACAGAGACGTCAGTACGTTCGCAAGAGACGCGCGCATCAGGACTGGCAGCGTACCCTTGCGGACATTTACACGTGAAGCCAGGTTGAGTATTGACGCATGTCGCGTGGGGACCGCAAGGCCTTTCGAGCAGAGCGCATTCGTCGATGTCAACACAGCCGGTGCGCGGGTCGCCAGTGTAATCTGGCAAGCAAGTGCAAATGTAGGATCCGGGTGCATCGGTACATAAAGCATTTGGACCGCATGGGTTGTGTTGGCATTCATTAATATCTAGAAAGAGAAAAAATAATTATTATTACAATTCCATTTTTATTGCTTTGAAATAAATGTAAATAATCGAGGTATTTTTTATATCGGTGCATATTTATGTGTATATATGTACAAATGTATATACTAGCTTTTATACAAAAACCGATATTTCAGAAAACCGGTTTTCGAATTTTAATTTCACTAAAAACCGGTTTTAACCGGTTTTCGAATTTTATATAGAAAATAAATTTTTGCTCGAATATCCTGTAATTTATCCGCAAATTTAGTGTAATTTAGAGCAGTGTTTGACTGAATTTATTTATTGTTGATTTTTATAGACAGTAAACAAAATTATTTTAATTTTAATTAGTAGAACAAAAAAATAATAGTTTATCTTGATAAATAACTTTGAAAATAATTATTCGTTATTCGTGCATCATTTTCACATATAAGATAATATTTTTGTGATAGTGAAACGAAAGTTTTCGAATAAATAAAAATAATACATTTTTAAAAAAAAAGTCATTAAATTAAAAAAAAATTAGACACTTGTTGATACATACTTGTTAAAATTAATTTTAGTTTTAAAAACAATTAAGCTAATCTGGGGTATTGTCTGTTCCGAGCAATTTTAATTGATTAATTTTAAACTTTCTAATTGTTTTTTTTGTTTAATAAAATATGATTTCAAAAAACTGAGAACGTCTATCGAATTGCTACTTAGACGTGTCCTTTGTTTATTCACAAAATTGACATAGAAAATGCTTTCATACTTTCGACAAAATTATGCTTAATTGTTTTTTTTAAAGCCTGATATATAATTCTAAGTTTTTTGTTCTTTAATTTGTGGCTTCTAGGGTATAAAACTTTTTTTTAAGTTTGTGTAGAGGAAGTTAGTTCTATAAGAAGAAGTCACACTTGATTTAAATTAATTATACACTGGTGGTATAAAAATCTAAATCAATATATACAAAACCTTTCTGGGAACCACAACCATTGCAGACTGAAAGATACAAATGCTATTGAACCTATACGATTTCAGGAATCAAAACGCTTTCGTCTATCATTTATATTTGGCTATATTTGTCATTTTCCATTATACAGTGAAAAACCGACTTTTTTCACTAAAGAACCGGTTTTTCAAATTCCATAATTTTCGCCAAATAAAACGGATTTTAAAAATGGTTTTTGAAAACCGACAACCTTAGTATATACTAATAATAATTATAATAAAAATAATATAAGTAAGTAATATACAAGTAATAAGTACTTCAAGTATTAGATATTTGAATAAATTTCATCTTATATTTTTACCTGTGCATCCGGTCATAGGATCACCATTATACCCAGGGGGGCACACGCATTTAAAGCTTCCAGCCATATTATGACAAAGTGCATCACGGCCACAAGGCGATTCGCGCGCATTCATCGGAATCGTAACAGCCTGCGCCGCGTGCATCACCTTCAAAGCCGGCTGGACAATCGCATTGTAACTGCCTTCTAAATTCGAGCAAATAGCTCCTGGTCCACATCGTGCTAGTCCGGTTTGCACATTCGTCAATATCCACGCACTGTGGGTGAAAAATAGAAACATTAGAGTATTAAACTATAAACATTATATACATATCATTCAGAGGAGTTTATTTAATCACAACACTCCACAAACAGATACATTTATTCAAAGGAAACAAATATCTTAAAATTAGTCTAATGTCATTTCGAATACAAATTTTCTTCAAATTTAACTTGTTTATGCTATGTATAGCGCTAAATATGATGGATGAAAAACACCTTTTTTACTTTATATAATATGTATAGATGTGTCTTATAAATAGTCATTATTATAAGGACTAAAATCATCGTTCACAGTTTGACAAAATTTAATATTTTGATGCATATTAGAGAATCATTAAAGTTATAAAAAGATTATTTAATGCAAAATTTTAATTTATAAAATATTGTATAAAAGCCTGCCATAAATTACGTGTATAAAAATATTAGTTCACAATATATAACACTAATAATTATAAATGCAAAAATCGTTGTTCGTCGTGTTTTAAATTTTTTTTCTGCTAAATGGTTATAAAATCAATTAATATTTTATTTTTAATATATAAATGCTAATGTGTGATAGAAATTCATTTTAAAAATAATCTGTTAAGTTGTGATTTAAATTATAAGAAAGTAGTATACAATTTTTTATTAAGTTTTTAATCATGGATATAGCTGTGTATCTATATTTAAACTTAAATAATATATATATATATATATAGAATATATATATATATATATATATATATATATATTGATTTAGTAGTTAATTTTGATGTTGAAATATATGAGTGAGTTCTTGAGGGCGATACATCAAACAAAGAAAAGGCAAAGATTTATAAAATAATCTTTAATCCCAAACGTTTCGACATTCAATTTAATGTCATCATCAGTGGATATTACGTTGGTAGGTTACATCTAGAGAAGTGTACACAACACTAGAGATTGGCACTAACATTTATACAACTAACTTGTCAACACCATGCATTTTTTATATTTTTGTATGATATGTAAACAGAAAAAATGATTGTTTTATTTGAAACAAAAAGTAAGTAGAATTATGTAATTTCTGCCACGACTTCTGTACTTTGCGCGTACCGAGGCATGTGTGTACCGAGCACCATACGTTTCGACACATAGTTTTGTGTCATCTTCAGTGGACTCTAGTTTGAAGGCACAGATAGAAATTATTAAATAAAACTAATATATAAGAAGTGATATGGTATGAACTTACATGTAATTGTAATAATCCTAATTATTTCATAATTTTTATGAATCCTAATTATTTATGAAATAATTAGGATTATTACAATTACATGTAAGTTCATACCATATCACTTCTTATATATTAGTTTTAATTAATAATTTCTATCTGTGCCTTCAAACTAGAGTCCACTGAAGATGACACAAAAACTATGTGTCGAAACGTATGGAAAAAATAAAAATGTTTTAAAGTCATTGCCCTGAAGACTGAATCTCACATATCTCAACATCAAAATTATAAAATTTATATTATTCATCTATACCCTAGTAGAAATGAATCGTGGCGCAATATTGTACTTTTTATGGCTCTCTATTGTTTACCAATATTGCTATAATATTATTCTGTTAACATGTTTCCCATATAAATCCAATATTAAAACCAATAAAGGCCCCATATAAAACCAATAATGATAAACAATATTAAAATCCCATTCAAAACCAATATAAGCTCAATATTGAGAACCAATATAAGATTAATATAAATAAACAATATTTACCCTATATAAAAAACCAATATAAGCTCAATATAAATAAACAATATTTACCCCAAATTCATAATTATTATTTAACCCACATTTAAAAATATTATTTAATTTATATAGAAAAACAGTATTTAACTCATTGATAATAAAAGTTTATTTATTCTAAATGAATACATACATTTTTAAATAGTTTATGTATTGAATCTTGATATCTTTATTAACAATTTACACATTATTTTATGATAACAAGATACAAAACAATCAAAATATTTTCAGTCATTATAATAATTTAGAGGATTTTAATGATAAATTATAATCATAAATTTTGTTAATCCTATCGCCGTAATTGTACAAAGACCAAGCCATTCAAACAATTTGCAGACTTAATTATTATTTCGATGTTTTTTTTATTTTCACACATGTTTTAACATTTTCTTGAATTCGATCATGATTACACCTGAAATAAGATAAAATTTATTAATATTTTATAGCAATATTTTCGAAATATATTGATTTTATAAACTCATAAATTCAATTACTTAGCTTTTAGCAAAAAAAAACATTTCAGGCATTATTTTGCAGTAAATATAATTGTAGTTTATCTAAAACTCATATTTTCTAGAACTCTATCACAGTCAAATCTGAAATAATTAAAAATACAGTAAATAGAAAATTTTAACATTAATTTAAAACAGCTCAATTATAGTTTTAAATTAAAACAAAAAAACTATTGTTGGAAATACGAATACCAAATATTCAAAAGCGATAATAAGTTATTGAAAAGTCTTCATTTAATAAGTTTGTTAACCCTTCGTCGGGCGCAGCCGATCTGACAGATACAGAGCCAATAATTTTTCATGCTGCGCCTTGGTTGAATGTTATAGAAACCTCCACTCTTCAATAGCCTCCTAATTTTATATGTTTTATTTATGCGTCTTTATCATTTTGTGTTTGACCTTCGCATTTAGTGGCAATCGGTATTTTGATCCTAGAGATACACTGCGCCCGAACGTGCAACATTTTGATACGTACGAATATTGCAATTTTTTGTCAATGTAAGTATTTTTTTTCTGTATTTTTTTACGTATTTTTGAATATATATCTCAACACTTTTCATTTAATTGCAATTTTTTGAAAGTATCTACGAGATTCACTGCGCCCGAATGTGTTACTAACTTGAGTCCATACACTTTATAGGCTAGTAAATATGGCGAGTGGTAAAAAAATATATTATTTAGAAAAACCAGCTCATGCAGAAGAGATTCTAAGAATGCTGAATGATGATGCTGAAGAAAATAATCTTTTTGACGATTTAGGCGATGAAAGTAGAAGTGACGAAGACCATCTAGAAGAGAGTCGCAAAGTCGATTCTGAGACAGAACAGGATGAAAGTGAGGAAGAAATAAATTTGAACAATAATGCTAAATATTTTATGAGTAGAGATAAATCTACAAAATGGTGTAGCAAACCTCCCTCTAATAGGATTCGGACAAAATCCCAGAACTTATTAGGACATTTACCAGGTGTTATAGAAAACGCAAAAAATGCTGCAACGCCTATAGAATGCTGGAGTCATGGGAATGGTAAGAAAGATCTCCGAAGAAGATAGTTTTTGAGACAATTATCGCATGAACTTGTTCTTGGACAGCTAACAAGAAGAAGTGAAATCACGAGTGGGATTCCGTTCACTTTGCAGGCAGGACTCAAAAGATTCACCCCAAATTCACAGAAAAATGGCTCACAAAAACAAGAAGAGCCACAAAAAAACGGCGATGTGAACCATTTACATTAGAAGCTAATATTAGACGGCTTTCAATATTTTATTGTGCTAAATGTCGAAAATCATTGTGTTTGCAACATGCGATCTTTCTATGCAGTGCTTATTCAAATGCTTCAATAAATGATAATATTTAACTATACATATTGAACTATCATTATTATATACTTATTTTTTATAAAGTGACAAAAGAAAAAAAAGTTAGAGACTGCGTATTTCAATAAAGAAAAGTGAGTGTATATAATTTGTGCATGTATACACAGGTTTATATTTTTCTACATTTTATAATAAAATATTATTGAATTCTCTTTTTTTTTATTTATTCAAAAAGTATACATTCTGAAATGTAATTAAACAAAAAATAAACATGTTTATAAAATAAAGAGCCTCCTGAGGATATACTTAAAAACCGTTGCTGTCGGATACACTGCGCCCGAACGTGTGCGTAACGGGACTGCGCCCGACGGAGGGTTAATATTTTTATTACCTTTTACCAAATCCATTCTTGCTATGTGATAGTTTTTATATTACAGCTGATTTTATATCCATTTCAATTTAGTCAATCTAGAATATATAAAATACATCATTGTTTACTAAATATGTATGTTGATTTATATAAGTAATAAATATACTTACGTGCTTTAAATATAAAACTCAAAATTATGTTATTTAACCGCTTAATTTTAATTATAAACTGTTCACAAAATAAGTTTTTAGCAAATTATTATATATTTGATATCATAGATCATTTTATTATTCACTAAATATTCACTCAAAATTCACGAACTAAGACTTACTATATTTTATGAATATTTTTTAATATTATAACAAATTCTAAATTCAACAAAAATTGCTAAACGCACTGCGTAACAAATTTCAGTCTACTGAAAATTACGAAACTCTGCTTGGCTTGCGCTTTGTTTGATGGTGTAGGTGTAGCATTGTTAATCAAAGGGCGGTTTTTATGTTTTTGTATTTTATGTTACGAAGTATACGCTCATTAATTTGTCGTTATTAGTTTATTCAGTGTAGTAGTCATTAAAAAAAACTTTATATATAACAAAGTTTATATATAACTCTTTTTTCATTCATTTCAATATGAGATAGTTAGTAAATTACATAATCTGTGAAACGTTAGTTAGAAAATGTTCAAAACGAAATTAATAAAAACGCCATTAATTATTATTATATCAAATATGTTTATATTTATAAAATTTTAAATATTTAGATTTATTATTGATTTTTTTTCTGAATTATATAAAATAAATTTTATCTTCACAAAACAAAATTAATATTTCACTTATTTTATTCTACGTTTTGGGCTTATGGATTCTTTCCTTCTTCAAGAACTAACCAACAAACATTTTTTATAATCACACTCTTTTCTATGTACACAATAATAAATTTAAAAAAATCTTCGTTTGAATTTAAGTTAATTTTTTAATTAAACTTTTACTCTTAAATAACATTAATATAAATAATAAACTAGTATAGTAATATAAATAATAATTGCTATCAAGA